CTTAGATGACAGCCTCTACCACCGCTGGCTGCAGAAGGTCCCTGTAAGCCCTGGGACCTTGCCCAGTAGGGGAGAAGCAGTGATCTGCCATTGGAAAAGCCAAGTCCCTGGGGGCTCCTGGCTGCTCAGGGAGTGCCGTGGTGCCCCATCCGCATGGCAGAAAGGAAAGTCCTCAGAAAGGGCAGGGAACCCGCTTCCCATTACTGATGGCTGAGTGGATGCTGTTTCCATGGTAACTGACCTGAAAGTCCTGTTGCTAAGGAGGCAGCTCAGCAGGCCCAGCATCCCCATGACAACTGCCCCCTGTGGCCCAGGCAGTGGTGCTTCCTGAGGACTGTGGGGAGGGCAAGGGCTGGGCATAGGCCCGGCCTTTGGGGATCTGGGGAGGCCCTTGCACACAGACAGCGACTGTGCTGAGCACAGGGTGAGAGGAATTGCAGCGGGTCCAGCCCAACCTGAGGAGTGGACGCTCACCCCTCAGATTTGGCTGGACCCGCTGCAAGGACACTCACCCCCACCCACCACCCTGTCTACCCTGCTTGGATCCACCCCAGGCATCTGCACAGGGCCAAGCTTCTGGGGCCCGGAGGCAGGGCAACACTAGCCACGTCTTCTCTGTTTCCTTACTCTGAAAGGACACTTAGTAAGTAGTTACCATGTGCTCTGCTCTTTGAGCCATCCTATTATCTCCCTCCCTCCTCACAATGACACTGACAGGTAAGAATTAGCCTCAAGTTCCGTGAGCCAAAGGGCACTGAGGCTCAAAGAAGGTGAGGAGCTTGTCTAGACCAGTCCGCTAGAATGTGAAGGAGCCAAGATGCACACCCAGGTCCTGGGGCCAGCCCTGTCCCTCCCACTGGTGGCACAGGGGTCAGATGGTAGGAGCTGTCTGTCTGAATACACCCTTTCTAGCAGGCAGGCTAGAAAGGGTGTATTCTCCATAGAGAACTTAAAAACTAGAATAAAAGCGACTAAATGTCAGTTTGCTTTCTCTTTCCCCATCACATCTAGCAGCAGCTCTGAACAAGTCAGCAGACAGCATCCTGCCTCCCCGCTCCCCATGCCACTGCAGCCATGCTTCAGCCCCAGTGACCACCTGAGGGGCTCAGCTGCCAGCATGGGGGGCGGGGGGAAGGTCTGAGGCCCTTCTTTCTGCCTTGGTGGGGCTAAACCAGATTGGGAACTTTAAAAGAGCATTTTAAAAGTTTAATGTAATGCCTCCCTGAACTTCGTGTGTTTTTCCAGCTGCTGCTCCTCGTCATCTCAGCCAAACTTCTGAGGGTTGCCTCCACTGCTGACCTTATTTCCCTCCGGAGTCACTGCTCCTGTTCCGAGTTTGGGCTCTTCTCAAAGGCTCAGGGCATATGAGATGCATGATGGGACTGGAGCAGGAGTTTAAATCCCACATATGCAGGAGAGTGCATTAGTTTTCAGAGTTTTTCCAAGTTTGGCTCAGTGACCACCTGATTCAAAGCACTTGGGGTTTGTTAACATGCAAATTCCTGGACTCCAAGGACAGGTTCTGAATCTCTGAGGGAGAGCCGAGGAGATCTGCCAGGACAGCGCAAGCTCCAGGAGGGCAGGGACCATGGATTTCCCGCTATTGCTGTATCCTCACTGCCTGGCACGGTGCCTGACATGACGTTGGCACTCCACATGTTTGTTGGAGATGAGCAAGCACTTACAATGCTTCCTATGTATTGGGTACCGTTCTAAGGCCTTTTATGTGTGAACTCATTTAATCCATATAACAGCCCTTTGGGGTGGGCACTGTTGTTACCCTCATGGGACAGATGAGGAAGCTGAAGCACAGAGAGAGGACATGACTTGCCCAGAGTCTCAGTTAGTAGGTGGTGGAGCTGGGGCTTGAAGGAAAGCTTTCTGAATAAAATTAATGATCACCAATGAAGCTAAAAATATTAGGTTGGATAGTAAAAAAGAAAGAAAGAGTTACTAAAAAAATCTAGAGAATTGTGCCAGTCTCAGAATGCATCTCTCAAGACTACCAGAAGGTGATAGTAGTGCAAAGAGGAATTTATGGGAGGAGCCAGACAAGTTAACAGGCCAATAACAAAACAGTGTGGTACATACCATGAGAGAGGTTGGCTTAGTGTGAGGCCAAAGGGAGGAGTAGGAGAGGCAGTTGGGGTGTGGCCATGGTGAGGGTTGTGCCTGGAGGATGACAAAGGGAGTTGTTTGCCCTGATAGGGACACGTAGGGAGCAGCAGAGAGCGGCCCAGAGAAGAAATGGGTGGCTTGGGCTTCTGGAAGGCACAGGGAACAGAACGAGAGAATGGATGAGCTCGGGACCATGTACTTAGTCCTTCTCCTGAGCACTACGAAGGCCAGTAGTTACTGAGCATCGATCTGTTCTATGCCAGGGGCAGTCCTCTATCCAGATGTGCAGTGTCTACTGATCTCTGCTGCAGTCCTATGCGGTTGTTAGATTCCCATTTTATAAATCCTGAGAAATAACAGAACCATTGACTTAACCATTTGCAGGAAGAAACTAGTAGTTCATAATTTAGTACCAAACCTTCAAAATAGTAGAAAGAAAATGTCCAGAAAGGTTATTATAAAGAAACATAAATGGTAAACCAAATGTGATGAAGTCATTTTTTTCAACACGGTTCACTGTCATTTCTCTCTTTTTTTAAAAAATATCATTATTGACTCTCTCACAGAGAGGAAGGGAGAGAGACAGAGAGCCAGAAACATCGATGAGAGAGAAACACGGATCAGCTGCCTGCACACCTCCCTTTCTGAATGTCCTCTTTTGAAAGGTGTCTATTTAGATCCTTTGCCCATTTTTTGATTGGATTGTTTATCTTCTTTTTGTTAAGTTGTATGAGTTCCCTATAAATTTTGGAGATTAGGCCCTTATCAGATATGACGTTGGCAAATATGTTTTCCCATGCAGTGGGTTTTCTTGTTGTTTTGTTGATGGTTTCTTTTGCTGTGCAGAAGCTTTTTATTTTGATGTAGTCCCATTTGTTCATTTTCTCTTTAGTTTCAAGTGCCCTAGGAGCTGTATCAGTGAAGAAATTGCTTCGGCATATGTCTGAGATTTTGTTGCCTTTGGATTCTTCTAGAATTTTTATGGTTTCCTGTCGTACATTTAAGTCCTTTATCCATTTTGAGTTTATTTTTGTGTATGGTGTAAGTTGATGGTCTAGTTTCATTTTCTTGCATATATCTGTCCAATTTTCCCAACAGGTTTTACGCTTAAATGATTGTCATCTTGTTAGGTGTTTGTTGGTATTTCACTCTTTAATGTGTTATATAGGGAGATATCAGAATAAGTTTAATCAATTTATTAGTCGTTTGTATCAATGTTGTTTTTATATTATGTTTTTGTTGTTTTATATCATGTTTTTCTTGTTTTCATATGAGGTCTTGTTGTTGTTGTATCATGTTGTTATTATTTATTTAAAAATCAATTTATGGTATATATTATTTTCATATACAATTAACTCATTTTCTTTCATCTCAGACACTTCTATTATACAGAGAGGGAAAATAACAATATTAAAATATTTCTTCTAATTATTTTCCTTTCAATGTGCACGGGGCCACTACTACATTAGTAAAAAAGTCAACATGTATGGGACAATTATGCAAAACCACAAAGAAATCTTCCAACTCAACATGGACAAAAGAACCAACATGACTGAAAAGGGCCAAACACCTTAACGCCACAGCACTATAAAAGACATACACATAGAATATCAGTTAACAAGATCCTGCATATCTTATGTCACTAAGGAAATTCACATGAAAACAATGAGAAGTAACAACAGCACAGGCAAGCAACACTCAACCACCACTGAACAGGTCAGAATCCAGAACACTGAACGCACCAAGTACCTTGGTGATGTGGAGCACCTGGAACTCCCAATCACTGCTGCTGAAAATGCCAAATGCTACAGCCGGTTGGGGAGATGGTCTGGAGGTTTTTATAAAACTAAATATACACTCGCCATGGGATCCAATAATTGGGCTCCATTCTATTAAGCCAGAGTTAAACCTTTTATCTACACAAAAGCCTACAAGGGGCTGTTTATTCATAATTTATAAAAATTGGAAGCAATGCAGAGGTCCATCAACAAGTGAATGGATTATAAATACAGTGAAGTACATACAATGAAGTCTTATTCACTACTGTAAAAAAATAATTCATCAAGCCATGAAAAGACATGATAGAAACCTAGATACATAGATCTAAGTGAAAGAATCCAATCTACCTGCCCAGTTAGCCCAGTTACTTCGTGGATCGTACCGATATACCAACGTTGTAAGTTTGACCTCTTGACAGAGCACATACAAAAAAATCAATTAATGCCCAGCTGAAGTTTCTATCTCTAACTATCCCTTCCACCCTGAAATAAACAAAATCTTAAAATTAATTTAAAACAGGAAAATGGAGTGTGAATTTTGATAGAAGCTTTCCCATTTCCAATGCAGGTTGTCCTCTGGCCAGAAGAAATGGTAGAATATTAGAATATTCTAGAAAATTATTTTCCAAAATATTATTTTCTGATATTACCTTAATTAGTGTAGACAACATGTAAAGTGTACAAACACTGAGTTCCTAATTCATATCACAAAGCCTTTCTTTTCTACACCAAAGAATCTCCCAATTTGTTCCTTTTTAAAAAAATATTTTTTTTCTCTTGCTTTCAGAGAGGAAGGGAGAGGGAAAGAGAGAGAGAGAAACATCAATGATGAGAGAGAAATCACTGATCTGTAGCCTCCTGCACACCCCCTACTGGGGAGCCAGTCAGCAACCCAGGGATTGGCCCTGGACCAGAATCTATTCCGGGACCATTCAGTATGCAGGCCACTGGGCCTATCCACTGAGCCAAGCCAGCTAGGGCCCAATTTGTTCCTCAAGAGCAAGAATCTACCATAGAAAGCAGAAGCCCCTTAGAGATGTTATAATAATAAAGGAAAAAAAATTGTGGGGGTGGAGTAGGAACTCAGGAAGGAGTCATCCTCACCCACGGAGACCAGGTTGCTGTAGTTCTCCAACATCACATCCAGGTACAATTTCCGCTGAGCTGGGTACAGGCATTCCCACTCCTCCTGAGAGAAATCTATGGCCACATCCCTGAATGTCAACGGTCCCTGAACAAAAAGACACATTGACCAAGAGGTCACCAGAAGAGTTCATAATGTCACCCAACATGAAAACAGTGTTAGGAGAAGAGGCTGGGTCCTAGGGGAGTATCCTGAATCACCCAATAAGATCACTTTGCCCCAGTAACATTCTCTGATGTGTCTTCTGACACTAACAAATGAGGATGAAACATGTACACAGATGCACAGTACAGATTTTCCTTTACAAGAAAATAAACTTTAAAATTAAGGCATAGCCCTAGCTGATTTGACTCAGTAGATAGAGTGTCGGCCTGCAGACTAAAGAATCGCGGGTTCAATTCCAGTCAAGAGCACATGTCTGGGTTGCATGCGCAATCCCCACTAGGTGAGTTTACAGGAGGCAGCCGAACAATGATTCTCTCTCATCATTGATGTTTCTCTCTCTCTCTCTCTCTCTCTCTCTCTCTCCCATCCTCTCTGAAATCAATAAAAATATATTTTAAACAATAAATCAAGGCATGGACACGGGCATATGGATTTCTGAGTGCTGTGTTGCATCATCGTTCAGGGTCAGTAGTGTATATTTCTCAGCTGTAAATGTGATGGTGTGTTGGAAGTATATGAACTTCTTCTCAAGTGTAAAGCAGACCACAATGAAATGAACTTCTGTAAAGACACAGATTGTGATCCAGGTTCTCAGATGGGGCCTGTGTTTCCACGTGTAACAAACTCACTTTTTTTACTTGTGATGTCAATGTGTCCGCATCAGGTGCCATACCTCTGAATACACAGAAAAAGAAAACAGAGGAAAAAATTCATACTGAACTTTGAACTAAAAGGGTCATTAATGGAATTTACAGTTCTCATGGAATAGGACACATATGAACCATAATCTTAGTGGAAAATTTAACATGAGTAATTTTAGAATAAGATTATTCTGCATGATCCAGCTGGTGTGGCTCAGTGGTTGAGTGCTGCCCCATGAACCAAGAGGTCAGATTCGATTGCCGTGTGGACACATGACCAGGTTGTGGGCTCAATGCCAGCATGGGGTGTGCAGGAGGCAGCCGATCAATGATTCTCTCTCATCATTGATGTTTCTGTCTGTCTCTACCTCTCTCTTCCTGTCTGAAATCCATAAAAATGTACTTGGGAAAAAATAGCTGAAATAATGTTAACAGTTTAGGCACAGAGACACATTTTACCACTAAGAAATCAAGATGGTTTAGTGATTCCGTAAATCTCATGAATCTATTTGTGTATGATCCCCTTTGGGTTTTATATAAATACAATAAGGAGAGAAACATAAGGATACAAAACAAATTAGACCTATTATTTCCTTTTTGTAGTTGTAAATCCTCACCTGCGGAGATTTTTTCATTGACATTTTGAAAGTGGAATGCAGGGAGGTAGAGGCATGAAAGGGAAAAGACAGGGAGGGAGGGAGCGAGGAAAGGAGGGAAAGTGGGGGCGGGGTGAGAGAGATATCAATGTAAAAGAGACACAGAGACACATGGATTAGTTGCCTACCATACGTACCCAGGACCTAGTTGCCCTGGACCAGGAATCAAACCCCCTACCACTGATCCACACCAGACTGGGGGAACAAATTTTTCTTACTAGTACATTCCTTTCAAAATTTTTGTGTGTCATTAGTGCAGAGCTATATTGTAAAAATTTAATGTAACTGAACATACATTAATAATATCATTCTTGGAGCCCTGGCCGGTTTGGCTCAGTGGATGGAGCGTCGGCCTGCAGACTGAGGGGTCCCGGGTTTGATTCCGGTCAAGGGCATGTACCTTGGTTGTGGGCACATCCCCAGTAGGGGGTGTGCAGAAGGCAGCTGATCGATGTTTCTCTCCCATCAATGTTTCTAACTCTCTATCTCTCTCCCTTCCTCTCTGTAAAAAAGCAATAAAATATATGTATTAAAAAAATAATAATAATATCATTCTTGGAAACTTTCTAGAAAATTCAAAAAGTGATCATGAAGGGTATGTCCATTACATGAGTATAAAATATAATGAAAATTTAAAGAATCAAGGCCTGATTGTTTACAGCTCCCATGCAAAAGCCAATGATCTGTAGGAAATAAAAGTAAGCCCTTCATTTTAAAAAGCAAACACAAACTAAGAATAGAGACATTTCCAGATATGAAGTAATGGTCTTTGCACAATTTTGATTAAACCCCCACTAACCCTTCTTACTGAGCAAGGGGGACTATTAACTCTACAGTGAGTGCAGCACCTCTGCCACGTGAACATCATGTTGACTGAGTCAATGGGTATCAGGTGACTAAGGTACATGGAAGGCCAGGTCACCACTACTGACATTACTGGCAAAAATACTTCAATTAAGAAATAATTATGTGGAAATAATCACAAATAAACATTAATTTTTGCACGTGTCAATGCCCATGTACCTCTCATGTTCTGTAAGCTAATAGTACATTTACCTACCAAGTCTTTCGTACTAATCTAGTGAGCAAATCTCTTCTATTTACTCTTCTTTCAGAACTTTCTGAGCTACTCTGAGCAGTCAAATGTGCATTTTCTTACCCCATATCATGAGGCTGATGCGGCAGCCACTTGAACCTAAAACCTACATTTCCCTTCTTCAAGATATACGAGCCTCTGACCCCATCCTAATAGGGATGTTATAAATGGCTGCCTTTCCAGGTAGATCTGTCACAAAAGGGATGTTCTGAGTAGTTGAAAGTCATTAATTAAAGGTGGGAATGCTTCCTGACCTTGGGGAGGCTGCATAAAATGAAGGCAGAGAAGGCTATGGGACAAAGGAGAGAAGTATAGCCGGGCCAGAGTGGCTCAGAGGAAGAACGCTGACCTATGAACCAGGAGGGCAGGTTCCCATTCCTGGTCAGGGCACACGCCAGGTTTCAGACTCAATCCCCAGTGTGGGGTGTATAGGAGGCAGCTGATCAATGATTCTCTCTGCTCATTGATGTTTCTATCTCTCTCTCTCCATCTCCCTTACATTCTGAAATCAATAAAACATATATTTAAAAGGAGAGGGAAATATAGAAAATGCTGACCTATCATAAGAAAAAAGGAAAGAAATAAGGAAAGGAAAAAAACTTGGAAAGGCAAGAACATCAAAAGTAGAGAAATATGGAGGAGAGGAAGGAGCCCCAGAGAGATGAAGGGGACTAAGAGGGAGAGGGGTCCTAGTGCACAGAAGTGTGGGCAACAAAGGGGGTGCCAACTTCAGATAGAGAGACTGGTTCAGAAGAGAAGAATTGGTGGGAAGGAGTGCAGGTACAGAAAGGGGGGTTTAGGGATGACGGGGCACAGGGAGAAGCAGCACTGAGTCAGCCAGCTGTGAGTAACAGGACAGACTGTAACAGGGGCAGAAGAGGAGACACAGGTGTGGGAAGGGAAAGAGAAATATATCAACAGATATTCAAGGAAAAGCAAACATAGCCACTGACACAGGACACATCTTTTACCTGAGAAGCAGCCATTTGGTCCTGGTCCTGATCGGGGTCTGAGATGTTTTCTCAGGTGACAATATGTTGAGTCACAGAATGTGCCTTCAAAGAAGTCAGCACAGCTTGTTAATCAGCTCACCTCACACACAGTCAGAAGGACCTGCAAATGAGGAAAAGGTCATGCCCTCTTGTCCTTTGTCACAGGAGAGAGTGAGGAACAATGAGCTCCTACTTGGAGACCACACTGGGAATTTTCTAGTGTCTGTCTTCATGTGTCTCTCCTTCCAAAGACTTCCACTAAGTCCTAAAGAAATGAGAACGTGAATTGCTGCCTTGACCTCCCAAACCAAACAGAGCACCCCCTTACCTCCCCTAAACAAAGCCTGGTCCCCACTCTCACAAAGGCATCCTGCAACCCTCCTGTTAATCCCTGGCCTCACCTTCCAATCACATGGAGGCCCTCAGTAACCAATGATGCCCCACCCAGAGCAGCTGTCCAACTCCACAGGGGAAAGCCCACCTGAGGGCATTTCTTAAAGCTCCTCAGGAGATCTGAGAAGACCCAGAGGATTTATCTCAGATGTTTTTAAATAATAAATGAAGTGTCACATATAGAAAAAGTAAATCCATGGAAGCACACACAACCCCCACAGACCACAGCAACAAAGCTAAGGCTTCTAGTATTCCTTGAAAAAGCATCAGGTGATGGATGACAGATTCAGGTGACCTCCTAGTTGCCATCCCAGGAAATGACAAGGGACCCATGACCAACAGATAAGTCTCTCCCCTCTGAGTGACTAAGGGTTGCAATTGGAAGCAAATAATAATAAAATTACCAAGTCTCATAATCTGGAGATTTGTCATTCTCATTCAAATCTGTATAACTAAAACAATTCAGCCAATGTTAAATTAAATATATAAGCACACCTAGGCAGCAAGATTCAGTGGTTGAGCTTGAACGTATGAACCATAAGGTCAGGGCATATGGGCAGGTTGCAGTTTAGATTCTCGGTGTGGGGCATGCAGGAGGCAGCAGATCAATGATTGTCTCTACTCATTGCTGTTTCTATCTGTCTCTCTTTCCCTCTCCCTGTGAACCTGAAATCAATAAAAAATATACTTTAAAATCTATATCTATAAAGCCTGATATATCACAACTTAACCATCCACATCCCATCAGCTCACCTCTCATTCAAATTAGGGTTCCCCTCCTTCCCACTACTATGTATTTCTGTCTATGGATCTGTCTCTGTCTCCCTGTTCCCTTTCTCTCCACTGTGGCCCTTTCCTGTGTCCCCCTCTCCCCTGCTCTCTCCCTCCTTTTCTCTCTGTCTGTCCTACACCTGGACCATGAAACTCCTGAAACCTACTTCCCTTCAGGGGCTCTTTCTCCTGGTCTCTGAGGCTCCATCTCCACACACGTCTGCGTCTT